AAATGGACCAGAATCACATGTGTGGATTTTATGCTGAGAAACTTGAAGAGGATGGTCTGAACAAAGATGCATTTTAGAAATAATACTTCAGTTCAGCACTGTTTAATTGAACTTTTAATGATGAAAGAACTGTTTCTATAATCGTTACTGTCCAATACACTAGTCACTAGCCACACATAGCTACTGAGTACTTGAAACGTGGCTTTTTCAACTGAGAAACTAAATTTTAAAATTTTATGTAATTTTAAATTATGTTTAAGATGGCTACCATTTTAGATAGCACAAGTCTAGATGTGCTGTGGGATATATGTGTGGGTGGTGGTGGCGATGGAAGTGGTTTGGGTGATTGGAAATTCAGAATGAGGGAAAGAAATAAAGACATTATTTAGTAATCTGAGAGAGAAAGGATGGCAACAAAAATAAAGACAAAAAATCATAGAAACGTGAAATTAAAATATGTAGGTTACTTTGTCCAATGTTTAGAGAACACAAAGGGAATAATAAGAGAGAAAGAACCAGGTTAAATTCAGAGTATAGACGGCCTTGATGCCAAGCTAAATTTGGACTTTCTTTGAAGAGAAGCATGGGCCTATTTAAGTTTTGTGAAAATTAGCATTATTTAATCAGAACTTTCAGAAATGTGCCTGCCAGAAACATTAACTAATTGTGATGCGTAAGATAAATTAACATGTATCTGGTTATTAGACCCCTTATGCAATTGTACGGTGATAATATATTGATATTTCTTTCCTATCCTAAAGACCCCTTGACAGCCAAGACTACAGCTTATCTGTATGTTTTTTTTCCCTCCCTTGACCTCACAGGACTTAGTCGTTGGGAGAATGTTGAATGTGTTTCAAAATAGTTCATGAGACACTAAGCCACTACTGGGAATGATGGGCAGGTATTGATGCAGAAACTGCTTAGGAGTAGCACACATAGAAGTTAGTAACTGATTAATTTGGAAGTCTTTTCTCTCCAATAATGTTCTAGATTCTTAAAGCTCAGGGACTGGGATTCTGCCCAAGGACTGGGTATTCTATTCACACTTCTGGGCATGCAGCAAACCTTGAGAAAATCTTGGTGCCAATCGAAGGCAATATTTGAAAACCATTATATTTTTCCTGCAGTGTTTATCACAGAAATCTAAAGCAAAATATGCTTTTTATACTTCTAGAATACCTTCCAAAAGGTTTACATCAATATATACCCCCACCAAAAGTGTATAGCTATGCTCTGTGTGTATGTTTTTCTGGCACTAAACATTATCAGAGAGTTTATTTTTTTTCCCAATCTGATATTCTAAAAATGAAATAGCATTATTTTAATACGTATTTCACTAATCACTACTAAAGTTGAAAATCTTTTCATATATTTAGCATTTATGAATGCTCCATACATGCATAGCT